TGTGTGTTTTAAGAAAGTTTTAACTCAGAATTTTGAAATGTCTACAACAAAATGGGTTATAAGTTTTAACATAATTAAAAAAAAATACAACGCGTAATTATACAATACGCAAGTGAAACTTCTTCAAACACACAAACGTACTGGGATAGGGGTTAAGGAATTGGTTTAATGGTATTATTTGTACACTACGAATTTAAATTTTACTATCCCCACTACGAACTCGACTACGTAACCGAGTAGAGGGGGGGACATCCGTTGCATGATTTCGGTACATAGGAACTAGCATGAAACGAGCTTACCCTGCCGTGCGTAAAGAAGTTTCACTTCAGAAAAAAGACGTGTGCAATTCACGTGGTAGAAGTGAAACCTTCAAAAATTTTGGTCTTTCATCTGACGTACAGGCAGTGCGTATTAGGACAAAATTTGTTGATTAGAAAATATTTGAGTACTTACTATGATCACTTTCACTATTTTGAATAGTTAAATCATCATTATGCGTAATAGAACTATCATTTTTCACATTCAACAACGCTTTTCGGCGTGCACGAAATTCGCGAACACGTTCCGTTGAACTTTTTGCTGTCTTTTTAATCTTGTTTCTCCTTTTCTTTTTTTGATAATCGCGACAATATTCTGCATTCGTTTTCGGCATATTTGAAGTATTTTATTATAAAAATGATGAAAAAACTCTATAAATATATAATACGTACACGTACTACAGTTGTTATGATGGTAAACACGAGTGGAGGGGGTACGACGTAGGGCACAAAGAGAACTACGATATAAGAAACACTGTATAATGCTTCCTATCTCATTTTCTCCCACGTTAAATCTTATGAATTTATGTGTCTGTCTCTTTTTACTGTGGCTTTTTCGTTTCATAGACTTTCAAATCACAACGATTCTAAAGAAATTTTCACTTCAAAAAGAGTACCACACTGACCTCAAATAGAATAATACGCTCCAGTGGCGCACAAGCAAGTACAAGGCTATCTATGAAGCCGTCCATTCGTGCCATTAAGTAGGTTCAATTCTAATGTTATCTGTGAAAAGGACCACATTTTTATGCTATTTTCGCGCTAACCATGGATAAAGGAACTATAATAAAAGAATCGAATAAAAAACAAAGTTAAAAAATAATAAGAAAAAGGTAGTATCATATCAAATGTAATAAAAAAAAATATTACAAAAATTTATTTGGTAATGAGACAGGAGTGAATTTTGGAAAATTCTGAAATTGGGCACTCGCATTTCGTTAACAATATTCTAATGGGATAAAATTATTTCAATAATAGTAAAACGGAGTTGTAATAATAATGGTAACAATTAAGGTTAAGATCAGAACAATTCAGAATGAAGTTGTAGTAGTACTACTGATTAAGAGATAGCGCCATTAATGATGAACGTTAGTGGAATTCTGTTCAAATCATTTCAAGTTACCTTTCTACAAAATTGCCGTGCAGCGACACGCAAATGTTTTTTTATCGTTAGCTATGATAGTTTATAAATCGCCTATAGGGATGTCGTTAATGTTTTGTGTTGTTTTTCTGATAATGAACATGTCCAACGGAAGATTTTTGTGTATAAATTTCATCCAAGACAATTCCCGTTAATAATGAAATCAAATAAATTAAAACAATACAATCGATAGTTTTGAAATTGCGAGACTTTGCCGAAAAACCATGTGTTGTGTTGTGTTGTTTGTCGTAGTGTCGTAGTACCGTGTGAAAATGCGATTGTGCTCGTGTATACGAAATGTACAGACCACGTATAAGTAAATTCACAAACAGTGAATAATATTGTATGGGATACCTTAAAATTAAGAAACTATTTTGCTTCCGATTCTTCAGAAATATAACAAGGTTGGTACATATAAAAATTTTAGCATTAAATTAACCTAACATTCATTAATTTTCATTTGACCGTCATCTAGTGTAGAAGCTGTAAACTCTAGAAATGCTTTTTATTTAATAAAATTTATTAGTTAGTAAAGTTACAATTTTTTCGCTGTATAGAAGATTGGTGTTGTAAATAATTTGGACTATCTTATGTTTTATTGTTGTAATTAGAATTTTAGAAGACCATAATAATTGCGTCTCAAGAAATATACAGGGTGTACTCCGTAAGAGCCGTAAGCTGACACTTTATTCCTTTCATTGTTATAATATTAATATTAACATTGAATTCGCATGTTTAGTACCTAGTAAATAATTACAATAAGTTTTAAGAATAATCTAATTTAAAGATAATTTGATCGAAATGGTTTAAAGTCTTTTGCTTCTCATACATGGCTTTTAATCTTAAACATCTAAGGGTTATTAAGTCATTCAGTTCAGCACCATTTTGTTCAGCCCACTTAATACAAACATCAAAACTATTAATTGCATCTTCGTTTTGTACTTTTAATTGAATCTCTTCGTCCTTGATGTCACATTCATCGCAATTTTCTAATAGAGAGCGGTCTGCATCATCGATGGTCGTTTGTTCGTTTGATTCTAATTCGGTTTCAATATACTTCAACATGTCCATTATCTCGGTCACTTTTCTTTCTTGGTTTAATGACGAATTGGATGATTTGTCTTTAAATGCAGTCAAAAGTGCCACATATTCCGAATCATAATCGAGTTCGCGTGTCAAGTGTAGGGAGAGCTCGTCATCCTGTGACTTTCGAAAAATGGTCGCCAGGTATTTGATTCCAAGCAATGGCCAGATGAAACATGCAGTCTTTGAAGTTAATTTTTTTTAAGTTTTGGGAAACGTCGTTGTCTTCAAAAGATAAAATATTTACTAAGAGATTTTTACGGTAAAGTAATTTAACTAAACTAATTATATTTTGGTCAGATGTTTGCGTTGTATCTGTGAAGTTTTGTGGAAGAAACATTGTTACTATTTTGCCGTCATTATCGGTCATTATTGTTTCTAATTCATGTCCGAAGGGGTTTGTTGTCACTAAAATTGCCCTGATGCTATTTATATTGTTCTTAATTAAAAAATGCTTTGTTTGTTCCATGAATGATGTATGAAACCATGTTTGCAGTAAAGATAACAACGTCTTCCCGTTTTCGTCTGTATGATATTCAATAGGAATTAATGTATTTTTTAATGTTTTGCATTTATCGTTACCAATGACAGTAAGTTTCAGCTTATGAGTACCGTCTATATTAGTACACGTCAAGAACTTAATTCTTCCCTTGTTCGATTCAGGTCCGAAGGGAAGCATTTTCCAAAACAATGCCGATCCTTCTAAGACATAAATCTGACTCGGTAATAATTTTAATTCATTAATTTTGACTCTTAATTTCTCAAGAAATTGCTCTGACTCTGATGTCGAGTGTTCATCGACCAATTTTTCTTGCCGAATGTTGTGTCTTTTTTTGAAGTTCGTTAACCATCCTTGGCTTGCTTTGAACTTATTGGTTCCGTAATGTTTCTCGTGAAGTTCTTTCGCTTTTTCAGACAACAAATTGGATGATATGACTACTTCTTTGTCTCTTTGCATTTTAAACCATGTGCACAGTTCATTTTCCATTTCCGGGAATTCCGCTTCTCTTAATGTTTTTTTTTTAAAAAGTCCATCAGATGTGGAATTATCGACATACCTGTTTGTATTGTCAGATATTTTTATTTTTATGAAAAATAAATAAATATTCAAATTTTCATACCTTTTTATTTTTTCTGAATTCTTCTTAATATCAGAAATTGTTGAGGTACCAATCCCATATTTTTTTGCTAACTGCCTACCAGTTACACCGTTCTCTAATTGTTGCAAGATGTTATACTTTTCTGCAAGTGTTAGAGTTTTATGCGCTCTTTTTGTAGCCATTTTCAATTTTTTGAATGGAAACGATTATGACTGTGCTTAATATGCATATTTCAACGTTGTACTGCCTCGTGCTTACTTTCGTTTAGTCCAGAATGATAATCCGGATTGATCCGGATTAGGGCGTTACAAAAGTTGGTTGTTTTCTGGCGTGAAATGGATGCGCAGTGGTAATGCATGTGGTAGGGTAAAATAACCCGTTTACGGATTCAGTGAGTCTTGTTATACACAGTACTGCTCAAAAATACAGACGGAGTACAAAGAAATATTGTGAAGTGTAAAATTTTGCAGTTAAAGTATGTAGTGTACACAAACTAGTATTTTTTAGAGGACAAAAATAAAACGTCTGTACAATAGCCGTAACTGGCCTTTGAACGTACAGGCGATTTATTTATGGTCCTCAATAAAAAATATCTTTTCGACAACTACCCACCGGGGGTAACTTTCTAAAGTTTACCCTGGTGTATGAAAAATTGAAGACTGGATAGTCGGTCGAGGTATAACACATTGAAAGGTCCTCTAGTTCTCCTCACTTCTCAAAATAAAATAAAAAAGGTAATTAAAAGAATTAATACGATTACACGTCAGTTTCCCAAAAAGTATCTTAAGAAAATCGACACTAGCGCCTATAGAGGAAAAACGAAAGAAAAACCGAACCAAACTTAACCTAAGAAGGAGAAGCCAGGGGGGGGGGTTTTACATACCATAACCAAGCATATTGTATTGAACTTAGGTTATGTTAATTTGTTTTGTTATATTAAATAGGGTAGGTTAAATTGTAGTAGGTAAAAGTTTCCCCCTCCATCTGGGTGGTTTTCTTATATCATCTCACTTCGTGAGTGTTGCCTTTTCCTACTACTTTATGATCCAAAGTAATTAAACAAAAGAAATTAGTAAAATATTAAGGTGTATCTTCAGCCAGTAATGAAGTCCGCCATCATTTACAGCCGAACATCCATATTACTGAGCCATGCATTTTCTCTTTCATTTTCTATACGCAAAACAAACCTACCCCTAAAAGACTTATTTGTCGTCGCCATATTTGATAGTCAAAAGAGAGAAGTTAATTCTGATTAGGAAAATTATATTATATTTGCTTATGCATGGATATTTATATGTACAATGAATGAAAGTTAAAATGTAAATATATACTATTATTTTTTAAATTTAAGAAAAGTTAGTTATGTTTATTTTCACATACTTTTTTTCTCTTCTTTTAGATGCTGTACTGTGTAGTGGCAAATTGCTCAAGCACCAACAATAAAAGGAACGTATTTTATGATCCGTATGTAGAGTTTTTTTCGTTTCCGGGAATTAAAAGTATTCGTGAAAAATGGATAGAAAGGTGTTGTCAAAAATACAGGTTCGATGCAAATTCAGCGAAAATTTGCTCCCGGCACTTCCGCGCCGGGGACATTCTTGATAAAACACGATTGCGTGAAGGTGTTATACCGACAGAAAATCTACCGAAAGAATTCAAAAGCCTCGGCCATATTAATAGTGCTAATACTGCAGAAGTCCCAACAATGTAGTAAGTGTATAGTTCTGATATACAGGAGTCAAGTGTAAATTAGTATTTTAAGTTATTTGGCTTGTGTATTTATGACTTTTGTGGTTTCCCAACTCAAGTATTCGAGTCAACACGGAATTCTTTTTTTATGTACTTTTCTATATTAAGCGTTGTTTTTTATTTAATTTTGAAAAAAAAAACTACCAATCAAAACCCCAGGGGTAGCTTTAAAAAATCCTTAACACGTAGTTGCCGACTAATTCATTTAAATTAGGAATTTTGAACAAAAGAAGATGCGTAATTCATAAAAAATTATTACGTACATCAGTTTAATGGCCATTAATTGATAGTGAATACATATTTATATATACAGGTAAGCTTCGTCTATATTTATAGGTCATCACCTAGTGTTGAAAACATACGCGGCCGCAGCGTATACTTCAAAATATACTGCGTGTCAGCAATCTATGGTGTTTTGATGTCAACGTAACTTATTTTCATTGGTTGTTATCGTTGTTACCATAGATAATAGATACACAAAGGGTTGTTACTGTTGGCGACAGCAGACACAAAATTCAACAATAATTTATCTTGTTTATGATAATCTATGCACAAATCATAGGCACAAATACCCAAACACAGCATCGCAGCTGATTGTAAGTTGCGCCTCTGTCACAATTGCTTTGTAATTAGTTAAATAAAATGTGTGAAAATGGACTGAGAAAACTTTTAAATTTGCACGATAATGATGTTTTAACTATTACTGCATTTAATAGTATATCAGATTTCGATATATGCGTAAGAACAGATCTAAATAGAGTAGCAAAGGAAGCAGACAGCAGTGAACAATGTAATACCTGGATCAAACAATTTAGTGCTGTTACCAAAACCAAATGGATAATAAGAAATTCTGGGCCACATTTAAAAACGATGGTTTATAGGAAACTATTTGTTTGTCATCGTTCCAATTTTAACAAAATATGTAACAATGATAGAGGTCGTAGTCATATTCAAGTCAAAAGCAAAGGATGTACTGCATCTATTGATATAAAAATTAAGAAAATTAATAGGTATACTATTAGAAATGATATTAATTTGCAAAACGGTCTGTCTGCTGTAATAAACGTGAGTATTTTATTTTTTTTCTACAAGGTATCTAGTGAACATATAATTTTGTAGATAAATTAAATTTGGACCCTTTTATTAATAACTTCTCTTGTTAAACTTGAATCATAATGCATCCTTAACACGAAAGTTTTTTTCTTTATCTTAGAGATGGAATATTTTAAATCGCTTAAAAAATAATGAACAATCCCTTCAGATAAAGAATAATTACACATGACAAAAGAAATCTATATGACGCGGCGACAGAAGGGGTTGAAATTTAACACTTGTTATGGATTTCATTTCAAATATGAATTTTTCCACTTTTGATGTAAACATTTTACTTAAATGCATTGTGTTTCATGCATTAAATGGCAAACAACCAGTGGCAATATATAATTATACTACAGTAACACACTAGTTTTTCAATCATGGTTGTCATATAGCTCGCATGCCATAGTAATTTTTTTACTATCATCCAATTCTAGATTAAATTTAACCACAACCATTTACTCCATATTGCTGAGGTGTATAATTATTTAAATATGACGGAAGATAAAAGGAAATCTTTTACTGCATGCTTTAATGATGAATTAATTCCAAATACAGCCGAAATGAAATTGACGAGTTTATATGACAAACCAGAAAATGTTGCTATACACCCAGCTAATTCACAAGAAAATCTTCATGCGTGGGATGTTATTTCTTTATATGACGAATGTAGGTATGTGTTGTCAAAGTTAAGAATTTTTTAATCTTTGATATTGTGATATGCTCACAAGTTTACATACTAATAATTAAAATGAATCAAAAGCACAGGACTAGTGAAGAAGCTAGATTAAGACTGAAGAGGTCGATTAGTTAGGTTTATTTAACAGTGCTTAAGATATGCAAACATTGATGCATAGCATATTTACTATAATGTGCTGAGACCATATATGTTTTCACCACTCTGTGATGATTGGTAAAAAATAAGTAAAATAAAAAAAATATATTTTATCGGCCGTGAATAGAACGTGGGCTAACAAAACAGCAGATGATGTTAAACATTGGGATGCGCATGACAGGATTAATGACTCCCTAAATTCCAGATGCAAGTCATTCAGACCTTATTTATGACTCAGAACCTACTAGTACTGATAAAGCCACAGTATGAAATCATAAGTTGAATGTTTGTTTCTGTATGCATGTCTATAATTATACTAATTTAAAACTGTTTCTCTCTGTATATAATTTTTATTATATTTTAGTAGAAAACAAGCACCAATAAAAACACCTGCGCAGTATCAAGCAGAGTATCGGCAGCGGTTAAAAAATAAAGCCAATGAAGTATCGAAGAAACAGGCTTTAGTAGTGAAACAGTATCCCCGTATATTAAAATGTTCTCAGCTTCATGCTTTCTTATCACAAAAGGAGGACAATGTTTCACAAATGTAAGAAATTCACATATTCCATTAACTTTTCAGAACACAATTAGATATTAATTATTTAATCGTAAGTATATTAACTCTATACACTAACATCAACTAATTGAATTATTTATATGAAATATTGTTTATATCAATAAAGTTATGTATATTAATTAAAATTATTTACATGTTTATATAATTAAAATAAATATCAATTATTCATATTAGTTATGTATATATGTATATTGTTGGTTATTTACTATATACTACATGTATAATTTTTTAAAAATCTCAAAATTGATTACTAATTTTTTCTACTATTATTTTAGATCAAAAAAACACAAATCGGACTATGTACAAGATGAGGTACAAGAAAATATTATCACGATTGATGATGAAATGTCAATGAGCAGTACTCAGCAACCAATAATGAGGTGTGTTTTTCATGATTTTTTATTTTTTTATATTATATGCTATGGTTATTTGTATTTTTTTACAAAATACCTTGAACAAAATTAATAATTAATATTTGTCGAATAACATTAGAAACTTCGTTCCTACCAAGTGTCCCACGACACCACACAGCTTGTTTGTATTTGATTTATTTCAAAAAAGTACAATGAAATCAATTAACAATAATCATGCTTATTTTTTACACTAATTTAAAATATCGGTATATGCAATTCATTTGTTTCATTTGATTAATTATTGTTTCTTTGCTTGATTAAATCTTGTTCTTAACATGAGTTAGATACACATTCTATAAAATATTGGTGATAGAATAGTATAAAGATGCGATTTGTTGTATGTTGTTATTAAGAGAAAATAATATATGTTAAGTTACACTAAAGATGAAAAAAAATAAAATATAAATTGAGACCCTCAGTTTTGATTATTAAGTAATACATATTATATATAAAAGAAATTATGAGTGCTGTCAGCACAGGGCAAAGTAGTATTACGTAGTTAGTATCAGCAATTTCTTACACTGAAGTGTACGATGTGTTGCATACTTATTTACAAACAATTCCTTTAAATTTATTTTTCAAACAATTTTTAACACAAAGAAAGTGATTAAACAAATTGTTCACAAAAATGAATTTCCACCAATCGAAGCAATGGTGCTAACAGTTTCGAGCTCACAGTGAATGATAGGGGCGAAGAACTTGTTAAAATACCAAAAATAAATAAATTAAATTATTTTGTAAGAACTAAATGGTTTTTTTCTCTGAAAAGTAAATCAAACATGAAACTTTAATCTGTAGATTAATTGTAGCAAAATAATGTTGAATTAGCGGCAACACTTAATTGTTAATCATTTTTCATCTTTAATATTCATAAATTTATATAGTGAAAAGAAACCATTTTCTTTCAGAGAAGATGTACATCCGCTTTTACTTCCGACTATGAAAAATGAAGAAGAGAACATGTATTCTCAAGCAGAAATGAAACAAAAACTTAGAACCGCGGAGTAATAAGAAATTTGAAATTCTTTTTAAAAATTAACGTAGAATAATATCCGAGATACTAAAATTATTTCATGTTTTGTTATAGTAGTCCGTTGTGGAAAGCATGTATAGATACAGAAGTGGAAATAGATGTCAAACAAGAACTAAAAAATGATATAGATATTGGACTGGAAATGGATGTAGTGGAGGAAAATGAGCCTGTTAATGATGAGCAGATGATAACACATCAGGAATTATTTATTGCAACGCAATTACCACCTATCATTGAACAATCTTCTTTCGAAGAAAATACTGTCGATCCTTTACAAACTACTGAACCAATAGTAAGAGAGTCACCATCTTTCAAATCACTTATCTCAGTACGCGATATCCGTACTTTAACTAACAGTGTTCCAACACTTGTGCAGTCAATGCCTCCGACAGTACCGTTGAAATTAAGAAAAGTCCCTCGCAGTGAAGCATTGTTGGCTGTTTTAAAAACCCCGTCTTCTTTAGTTCGAGCACCCCCAAGCGAGATAAAACAGTATGCTGTCAAAAAACCTCCACTGAAAATTATTAAGCCAAGCATTGATAGCGTACTTGTAAACAGTTGCCTATTGAAAGCTAAACCCCTAAATCAAAATTTTGAGGGTTCAGAGGTTAGTGATTCTAATGAAATAGGAAAACAGATCCCAGTGAAAATTGATAACCAAGTTAATAGAGAAAACGAAAACACACTACCACTCATAACTTTACCTAGTACGTCCGATGTAGAAAAACAAAGGCAAGATGTAACGTACAGCAATACAGAAGTGATTGAGCTCGATGAAACTGATATGCAATCCGAACATCAGCCAAATATTATGCATAAAGTGGGACAAGGCATTACAGTGATTAAAAATTCTGATAAAATGAGTATCGTGGACAGTGTAAGAAAATCTGAACCGATCTATTTGAAGTGTAAATCATCACCTCTTGAACTAATATGCGTTCTTTGCGCTCTTTCCACTTCACCCACATACAATATTCAACCAATGGCGCCATTCATTAAAGAAATCGTTGATGTTAATGTAAGTCGCTTTATTAATTTCAATACGAAAACATTACTAAATATATTATCATATTTAGATTTATTTTTTAATGTTCTTTTTGTTTAGATTTCTGATCTAACTTTACCTCTTCGTGCATGTGCACAATGCATAAAGGATATGAACGTGGCTCTAAGGCTTAGAAATAGGGTTAGAAAAGCTTACAAAAAACTCATCCAAAACACTCGTTCAGAAGATATCGATGATCCCGTTCCGATGCAAATACCTCCTGAAAAAGTTTTACGAACATATGCTAAATCTAGTAATCTTCAAAAAACCGATGAGACTAAATCGGTAGAGAACATTTCTGTTGTTGAAAATTCCACACCCTGTTTTCAGAGAGTACTTGTACCTTACCAACAGAACGAGAAGGAAAATCACTCAAATTCAACGGACAAATTAATTTCATATGAGAATATGCAGTCAGAAGTTATTGATATCGACTTGATAAGTGATGATGAAAATAAAGGAAAACAAAACGAAAGAAATACAATGAAAATCCCAAATCTTGTCATCAAATCAATAGTAAATAAAGGATCCCAAATTGAACAAGAAAGAGAAAATAAAGTGGAAATACGCGAATCTCAACTAAAGAACAGTCACATTAAGAAAATAAATGAAAATCAGTATGAACCGCCTCTACAACAGATAATTGATAGTGAAAAAGAAGATTCGGATGATGATTTAAATACTAGTAAAAAACCAAAAATATGCTTTTGTAGAGCTAATATACCTCGTGATATATTTCAATTACCAGATACTCAACTAAGACGCGAATTTGCTAAGGAGAAATACATTACCTCACGATGTTTACGATGTTTCCAATGGTAAATTAATTTTTAAAAAAGTGAGATTACTTTTTAATTAATTGTAATCAACGATTAACAATTTTATAACGTAATTCTGTTTACAGAAAGAGTAGTGATTACCTATTAAAGAGAAGTAATTGTATGTACAGTCTTATATGTGGGATAAAAATACAAAAATTTTAATTTTTTATGAAATATAGATAATNTTAATAAGTCTTCATTTGTATTATTATTTAAATACTTTTATCTGTTATTTATCACAAGTATTATCTCTATTTTATATACATATTTATTTTAATCAATCTTTTAATGGGCAGTTGAATTTCTATTCTGTGCTTTCACATTTAGAAGCTTAATCGTTATTTAATCAAGAATTAACATGATTCGTAATGTATGCGATCGTTGTTAATACATTACAAGTAAAAAGCCTTGCTAAGAACACAAATTTTTTAAAAGGGAAACAATTTTAGTTATTTATTATGTTTGTTCTTTCTTTTAATTGATTCTGAATTTATAAATATATAATTTTTTGTAGGTTTCCCTGTGCGAAGCGTTTAAGAAAGCACGTTCGAAGGCGGTGCTCATTGTATGCTGCAGGACCTGAAAGAAATTTCGTAGATGGAATCGAAACACGAACATGTGACTTATGTCAGTGCGTTTTTCGATCTCATATTGACGTCTTGATTCACAAGGACAGCATTCACAACAGCAACAATTGTCCCGACTGTCTAATGAGGTTTAAAGACAGCTTTCAAGCAACGAAACATACGAATATCCACAAGACTGATGATGCCACCGTATGTCTATATTGTGCAAGATTAGTGCCGAATCGTAGCTATAAAGTACATAGGATCACGCACGGCTGGGATTGGTGGACATGGCGCAGACGACGATGCAATAAGTGCAACGGGGAGGTTGTTAAAGAAGAGATCTATATTTGTACCGTATGTGGCATGAAGTTTAGAACTCCCACAGCCTTGCAGAAGCACTCATGGGGTCACAAAAAAAAAGGTTTGTAATCATAATAGAGCAGGCAGATGTTACGCTTTCCGTTCTATTAATTTCGGCTCTCAAATTGTATTAAATCGTCAAAACAAATGAGTAAAAAATAAATGCACAAATTAAGAAAAAAAATCATTACTTCAACTGAGGGCCTCCCGTATACCAACTGAGCAGTATTGTGTATTTCTACTACGATTTATGCATAGCAAAATTTATTAGTTTACTGTTCTGAATTAACAGGTCAATGCCTACTTATTCATATTTTCGATTTAATTCTTAAAGGCTCATTTAGATTAGACGTGCTGGTCTCGGTGAAGTCACACGCTATATTTTTCCAAGGCATTCTTACTTGACGATCTTACAATTAATATGTTTCTGTACCTTACATGTTTTCTCAAAGTACAATAAAAACGAATGCTCTTGATTTTATATACATAATTCACAGGAGATTTTCATTATACGAAAAAAAAAAAATGTATGCAAATACTAGTTGCTACGTTCTTATTCACTTATTCAATTTGTCTATTGTAGAGTGGAATGTTCGAAAATTTTCTCGATTATTTCTACTAGATTTGGAAGCCCTTTAAAAATTATTTTCAGTATTTACCTTCCATCGCTTATCTAGTAATACGTACATAATTATAAATTAATTTACAATGCGTCATTTTATCTACCTTACCATACTGTTTCAGATTTTATCTGCAAAATATGCACGAAGGTCTTTCTGACCAGGTCGACACTCAAACGACACTTGCGCACTCATTCAACAGATGATCAAAAGATTAATCGAAATGTTCAACATGAAGGAATTCAATCTAATACCAAACCGCATAAGTGCGGAATATGCAAAGCATCTTTCTTACGTATGGCAAGTAAGAAGAGACATATGAATGAAAAGCATACCGCAAAACAAATTAATGTGATGCAAGAGCAAACGACCAGGCAGTTAGTGGAAACGGTAAAAACCTTTAAAAAGGTCATCAAATGCGAGATTTGCAATATGACTTTTATCAACAATAAAGTAAAAAGTAGACATATGACAGTTAGGCACAGCAACAACATTATTAAGGAAGAACAAGTTGATGTAGAAGAGAATGTTATAAATGCAGGATGAAGTATGGAAGATCTAATTGTAAGCTCCAACGTTCTGAATAAATAAGTTACTAAAAATACAATTTATTAATATCAGTTTGAATTTATTTTGAGAATAATTTTTGATTTATGACTGTTACGTTAATTTAAGAAGTCGATGTTGTTTATAATTTCCTTGAAAATAATTCGTTACAACCAGTTGATATTTAGTTAGTTTAATAAATGTTTTTTCAATTTTGATGAACATACACATTCAAACAAGTACCTTTATATCTTAACCAATTTTATTCATACAATTTAATAAATAGTTATTGCGGTGTAATAAACTACCTTAAATTTAATAATTAGCTCATTGTTTTACACCATTAGACTTTTATAGGTACAGCATGAGGAATATAATATATTTATCTATCTTATTCATAACAGTATGATAATAATCTAATTATTATTAATAAATTTTTAATTGATAAGTAAATTTTAGGATGATAGTGTGTGAGGAAAATCTGGGGAAGATAACATCAGTTTATGGAGAGTAAGTGGAAGACTTCCATTCGGTGGGGAAATTGAAATTGAAAAGATGACGACACTGATTTGGGTAAAAGTAAAATAACATGACGTTTCCTCTGTTTACCAGTTATTACAACGACATACGGATAAGGCACGTCCATTAATATATGTCCATGATTAGCATAGACATATATTAATGGACGTGCCTTAGCGGTCAGAATTGTGGTATAACAAAAGAAAGAGATGGAACGAAGTTTTGGACAATATCCATCTCTCTCACTATAATGCGTAAGCGTGTTATGAAAGAGATAGCACTAGTCCGAAACCATATGCCATCTCCCTCACTTTTCGAGCCAAGAAATTATTACAACGACACGGTGAAGGCACGTCCATTAATATATGTCTATGGTGGTTAGTACCTATTATCTATGGTCAGTACGTATCTATGGTTTATGGTATGTATTTATAATATGATTTATAACCATAGTTTATAACGTTTATAAATGGTTTATAATGATTTGTTATAAGTGGCGAACATAAAAATCAGCAACAATGGATGTAGTCTATAATTTGATTCATGTGAAGAGATTTTTTAAATACTCAAATGAAGAAAAAATAGTTTTAAAATGTAGAGGACGGCCATTGCCTGATGTCATTATTGAAACTGCAGGTGTTAGTCGTGGAAAAGCATATAAGCGAAAATTTAATAGAGAAATTTATTCAAGGAACAGCTGGATTTGTGGATGTAACAAAAAAAATGCATTATTTTGTTTTCCTTGTTTGCTTTTTGGCGGCGATAAAGCATGGACGGAGGTAGGTGTGAAAGATCTAGTGCACTTAAATGACAAAATAAAAAGACACGAAAACTCCAAACGTCATCTTCATAATACAATGGAATTAACCTTATTGGGAAGGACTAACATTAAAGCACAGCTAGATTCAGCTTATTGGATAAATGTACAAGAACATAATGACAACGTGACAAAAAATAGATACGTTTTATCAAAAATTATAAACTGTATAAAGTTTTGCGGGGCCTTTGAATTGGCATTGCGAGGACAAGACGAAATTGAAACCTCTCAAAATCCAGGAATATTTCGTGGTTTGATAAACTTATCTGCTGAGCTTAATGCAACTTTACGTGAGCATCTACAAAATGTTTCAGTATTTAAAGAGCACTCTACAGATATACAAAATGACCTTTTAGACTGCATCCTAGAAGTATGTCATGAAGAAATAATTAAAGAAATAAACAAATCTTCCTTTTTAGCAGTTATGGCGGATGAAATAGCTGATGTATCTGCAAAAACTCAATTAGCGGTAATTTTAAGATATACCGTAGATGGCGAACCGATTGAACGTTTTTGGAAGTATCTAAATCCTACAAAATGGGATGCTGAAACTCTTTCGGAAAATATCTTCAGTATTATAGATCCTCTAATAAAAAATTCACCATACAAACTAATTTCGCAAAGTTATGATGGAGGAGAGGTAATGAGTGGTCAACATGCAGGAGTACAAGCAAAAATTAGGCAAAAGTACTCTTGTGCTCATTTTGTACACTGCTATGCACACCAATTAAACTTAATTATATCTAAAGCTGCTTCCATAAATTCTCAAGTGCGTGTGTTTTTTGGAAATCTGAAAGAGATTCCTACATTTTTTAATAACTCACCACAACAAGTTGAAGTGCTAAATGAAATTGTGAGAAGAAAAAATCCCCAAGTTGTTATGTCTTCCTGCAATTTTAATATAAGGACCATTAATGTTGTATTTGAAAACAGAGATTCTCTTATAGAATGTATGGAAGAAATAGAAGAACAATTTAATAATGAAACTGTGTGTAGTGCAGCTTCCTCTATTCGGCGTATGCTAGAAGATTCTGTTTTTGTTTTTTGGTTAACTTTTTTTCATCACCTAATGCCCCATGTCGACATTTTATTTAATCAGCTGCAGAAGGGAAGTATTGATCCAATTGAGGTAGAAACTGCTGTTCATAATTTCGAGAAAGGCATTAATCATATTCGGAATAATATTGATGACATCATTATTGAAGCCTCATCAAATGTCTGCACGGAGCCTCAAGAAAAAAAAATAAAACGCGCACATATCGGTAGATTTAATCACCGCATTGCCGCCCTGGAAATTTGTGATCTTATTACGAATTCCGCAAAAGATAGATTTATGTTTAATGACCATCTACTAGCTGCTTCTCTGTTTTTTTCTGAGCATTTTGGAGAGTATTGGAGTAAGTTTCCTGATGACAAGTTGGCAACTACTTGCATAGCTTACCCCACACTTGAAAAGGAGCGACTTAGAACAGAGCTATCTGTTATTTATTCAAGAAACGACTGTAAAGATTTAAGTGGTATATTACCCCTTTTGAAATTTTTAATACAAAATAATTTAGAAGAAACGTTAAGAGAAATAAAAAAATTATTAGAAATTATTGCTACAACACCTATGTCTACTTTAGAAGCTGAAAGATGTTTTTCAACTTTAAAAAAGATCAAGACCTTTCTTCGAAATTCAGTGTCCCAAGATCGTTTGACAGCTCTATCGATGCTTTCCATTGAAAAATTATTTATATCAAAAATTAATAGCTTCAATGAGAAGGTCATAGACAAGTTTGCTTCTATGAAGGATCGCAGGATTGAATTAACTTTCAAAAAACAGGTGTGTAAACATTTGCAGAACAAACGCTTAATTTTATCACCGGGCCGTCAATCCGTAGATTAACACTTTTTATATCGTGTAAATCTAAAATGCATAATAACTGAAGTGTATTTTATACAGTTCTTAAAATGTAAACCCTATAAGTCGTAATCCTTAATAAGCTAAAGAAAATACAAAAACACGTTTCTTAGCAGCAAAATTGCGATTCTGAAATTATATAAAATGCATATAAGATTGTTTTTGGTACAGGAACATTATCAAATGCATAAAGAAGAATGTCCACAAATACACGATTTTATGCAGTGTGGCCAGGGAGGACGCTCTGTACATTCAAAGGGTAGGTACATTTCAGTCATGTTATATTTAAGGGGACGATAACATAAAAGCCCCTATAATTTAGAAAGTGAAAACTAATCGTAAGCTGCTTTTAATTCATTTTTAGTTCCTGGTAGCTGTAAACCTTTGATTTTTTTTCTTTCTAAATACACCTAACATTTAAATGTTGTTTAGTTGTCGTTTTGCATCTTTTATTTTCATATTTATTACAAGATTCGGATAAATTAACATTTTTAGGGAATGACCAAGATGAAGAAAAAACTACTGATAATGTTGTAAAAGATAATAAACAAAAAAGGAGTTATTCGGCTAAAGGTTCAAGTGAGTGTCGTCGAAAAACTAAAAAAATAATCATCTATGGAACACGCTGTCTTTTTTAACTTTAAAAGCGTGGCATTTTTAGAAAATAGTCATGATAAAGAAAAACCTGACGTAGATAGTGAACAAAGGAATTGCTTAACTGAAGTGACTATAAAATGTAGTGATGCTCATTCGGGTTAGTAGTAATGTAAATATATGTTACATCTCGAGAAATTGTACCATTTTTTAGATGAACAATCGAATTCTGAAAACTCCGATACTGATTTAGGTAAAATAATTTAATTAATCATTTAATTGTATAGTTGTATAAATAATAGGAAAAACAAGTAAGAAAAGAATTCAGTTATATTTTAATATCTGTTTAACAGAAAAAAGCACTTAGTATGTTTGTTTAAAATAACATAAGAATCGAGCATTTTTCATAATAATGTTGCAAACTTTATTTAACGTAAGTAAATTTCTGTAGATGAACATTCGTTTACTTCGAAAGATAATAGAGAAAAGAAAAATTTAATAAAATGGAGAGATGAAGAGAAACAAGCAATTGAATTTTTTTTTCATAAACATATCAAACATAGGATTTCTCCAAAAAAACAAGAAGTCCTGCAGTTAATGAAATTGTATCCGAACCTATTCAAAGACCGGAAATGGGATCTTATAAAAATTTACGTACGCAACAAATACAACTCTGAAAGGTAATTAAAATTTAATTGATTCTCATTCGACCTGCACAACCGAAATATAATCTTAATTTTTAGTGAAAATAACACTATACAATTCGTCTCAGTGCAATGCAAAGAGGACGAGTAAGTACTTTGTTTTGTGTATACATATAATGATAAATGAAAAATATTCTTTCATTTTTTTTAGCCACGTATCTCCTTTTTTATGTATGGATATTAAGGAAGAACCAACACGTGTTATGTATGTAAGACTTTAATTTTAGTTATTTAAGAAGTTTACCACTAAATGGATAGTATGAAGGTGAAAGTGGGTAGCATGAAATTGAAGTTTTACCTATCACATATACTTAAAGACACGCGGATTGTTCAAGTTCACTAAAGGTGGAATGTTTTTGAAAGGTATATTTTCAAATTTCTCACTGCAAAATAAGTACAAAGTTTGACAAAACTGCAATCATGAAACAGATGCCGAATTTTAGATTAGAAACATATGGTTGACCCTTAACTTTGTTAAAGAATTTTGTTACAAACATAGTAGGTACTTAATTGTTCTTATTTTCTGTAAAAGTAAAGCCCACAAGACTTGAATATGTTGAGTAGTTGCAGTATAATGATTTCGAATAGAGTGGTTGGTTATTCTGTATTCAGTCTACTTATGTAGTGAAATTAAAAAACCATTTTATTACATATAAAATACGTACAGATATATTCTCATTTCTGACTAAAAATAAAAAAGAAACGAAAACATACTATCAGTGTTTAAGAACAATTTTCAAATTCCTATTAATAATAAACAAGGAATAGTGTGTTGAAAACCTTCCTCCATTCATGATTTATCGCCGCGTTTTCAAAAAGTAAACAAGAAAAATAAAATCATGTATTTGTCGTTGTACTCATAAATCCAATTACTCCTAGAATAATTTTATTGAAGTGAAACTTTATGGGGCACTATAAAAGTTTTGGGATGAGAGTTAAGTTAACAAAAACTGTTAAGTCAGAGAGATGGAAAAATTATACGAAGATTCACACATAAAGAAGACATCGAGATTAGTCAATGTATCAGTCGTTGCTACTAGTGCCAGTTTTATTAATTAAAGAATTCATTCCTGTAACATAAAATTATTAGATAGCACATAAAGTATGAATGGACAACAAATTTCCGTTCCAGCCATTGAAGATGGAGTTTCTTATTTAGATGTTTGTCTTATTTAATTTTTTTAACCCAAGAATACCATATTATTCGATTAGTAATAGTGAAATACCATTCAAAGTTTCTCTGACGTCGTTAGTTTTGATTGAGGGATAATTCTTGTTTTTAACTTTTACATTTTAAGCGTCTGTGCCACCTTTTGGGCTGTTTTGTTTATAATTTCAAGGCGATGAAATTGCGCCTCGGTTGGTATTTACGTAATTACTGCATAATTCATTAATGTTTATTATTTTTAGTATAAGTAATTAAGTAAACTATATTATATAGTATTTTTAACGAATGAAAGTCTTCTACAGGAATAGCCAAGACTTTCAAGATGATTATTCTGATCAGATGAAAGTAGAAGAAAAAGAAGAAGAATCGCCCACCACTTTGGACATGGATTTAAAGATGATGTTTGAAGAAGATAATGAACAAACTAATACCAGTAGTACAATCAAAACGGAGCATCCAGTCGAAAATATTCAGTTACCTGTCTCTTCCTTACAGACAAAACTGCCCTTACCTTTAAGCAATTGTCAACTACCTGCCAACTCAGCTCTTTTACTAATTCCTGAAACACAAGAGACGTCTAATACACTAACTTTGCTTAATTTGAATAAGATATCACCAGTCAATTTATCAGATACAATATCTAATCCACCTCCACCCTAAAATTTGAATGAAAAACTCTCCAAAGATTTTTTTGCAAAGCAAATCTGACGAGAACATAAGACTATCTGTTATTTTGTTTTGGAATAAGAGAAATAATTTTTATTTGTGCTATTATGATGATAAAAAGGCTATAAACGAATTTACTTATTTCCTTGATTAGTTAAGGTCTTTGTTTCATTGAATGTGCGATACATTCTAAATTCATTGTTAAAGCACGCCCCCTTCTACTTCATTTCTTCGTGTAATTCGCGTAAGCACACCACCCTGAAATAAATCCCGTTCTGGAAGGGCGACTTTTGAATTTTATACACGCAAAACGATTTGTAGACCAAAAAGTTTTAGAAATACTGGCTTACACGCTTCAGTTCATCGTATAAGAATCATGAATGTGCCTCAACTAATATACTGGAGTGCACATAACAAATACCTACCTTACATTTTAAATTAGGGCTACGTAAACTATTATTTAATTATTTGTGGCGAATTACAGATATGAGTGATGTAGTTAGGGGTGTATTCTTGTGGTGTATCTAATATATATTTAGTAAAAACTACCTGAGCGACCTAACTCATTGCTTAAGAGTCGAGACAGATGTAAAAAAAAGCTAGAAAATCTCTGGCGAAATTACGAATCATTGCGAGGACAAGTCAAGTTAGTTGCTTTATGTGTGAAAATATGGAAAAAACGAACCTTCCCGTAATTAACATTATGTAGATCCATATTTTTCGTCCGTGTAAACTCGTATGTTGTAAATTTCATTAATGTCGCTGGAGCCGTTTTCGATGTCTCAGTTACAAATATATATTATAAATATTACACCTATTACTCGTATAATATTGTAGGGTGGGTCATGATGTTTTTTTTACTTTTACAGTAGCGGTAATTATAAGTAACTGAAGTAAGATTTGCAGGATGAGTGTTTACCGTGAATTATCACTTTTTATATACACCTAACATTTAAATGTTGTTTAGTTGTCGTTTTGCATCTTTTATTTTCATATTTATTACAAGATTCGGATAAATTAACATTTTTAGGGAATGACCAAGATGAAGAAAAAACTACTGATAATGTTGTAAAAGATAATAAACAAAAAAGGAGTTATTCGGCTAAAGGTTCAAGTGAGTGTCGTCGAAAAACTAAAAAAATAATCATCTATGGAACACGCTGTCTTTTTTAACTTTAAAAGCGTGGCATTTTTAGAAAATAGTCATGATAAAGAAAAACCTGACGTAGATAGTGAACAAAGGAATTGCTTAACTGAAGTGACTATAAAATGTAGTGATGCTCATTCGGGTTAGTAGTAATGTAAATATATGTTACATCTCGAGAAATTGTACCATTTTTTAGATGAACAATCGAATTCTGAAAACTCCGATACTGATTTAGGTAAAATAATTTAATTAATCATTTAATTGTATAGTTGTATAAATAATAGGAAAAACAAGTAAGAAAAGAATTCAGTTATATTTTAATATCTGTTTAACAGAAAAAAGCACTTAGTATGTTTGTTTAAAATAACATAAGAATCGAGCATTTTTCATAATAATGTTGCAAACTTTATTTAACGTAAGTAAATTTCTGTAGATGAACATTCGTTTACTTCGAAAGATAATAGAGAAAAGAAAAATTTAATAAAATGGAGAGATGAAGAGAAACAAGCAATTGAATTTTTTTTTCATAAACATATCAAACATAGGATTTCTCCAAAAAAACAAGAAGTCCTGCAGTTAATGAAATTGTATCCGAACCTATTCAAAGACCGGAAATGGGATCTTATAAAAATTTACGTACGCAACAAATACAACTCTGAAAGGTAATTAAAATTTAATTGATTCTCATTCGACCTGCACAACCGAAATATAATCTTAATTTTTAGTGAAAATAACACTATACAATTCGTCTCAGTGCAATGCAAAGAGGACGAGTAAGTACTTTGTTTTGTGTATACATATAATGATAAATGAAAAATATTCTTTCATTTTTTTTAGCCACGTATCTCCTTTTTTATGTATGGATATTAAGGAAGAACCAACACGTGTTATGTATGTAAGACTTTAATTTTAGTTATTTAAGAAGTTTACCACTAAATGGATAGTATGAAGGTGAAAGTGGGTAGCATGAAATTGAAGTTTTACCTATCACATATACTTAAAGACACGCGGATTGTTCAAGTTCACTAAAGGTGGAATGTTTTTGAAAGGTATATTTTCAAATTTCTCACTGCAAAATAAGTACAAAGTTTGACAAAACTGCAATCATGAAACAGATGCCGAATTTTAGATTAGAAACATATGGTTGACCCTTAACTTTGTTAAAGAATTTTGTTACAAACATAGTAGGTACTTAATTGTTCTTATTTTCTGTAAAAGTAAAGCCCACAAGACTTGAATATGTTGAGTAGTTGCAGTATAATGATTTCGAATAGAGTGGTTGGTTATTCTGTATTCAGTCTACTTATGTAGTGAAATTAAAAAACCATTTTATTACATATAAAATACGTACAGATATATTCTCATTTCTGACTAAAAATAAAAAAGAAACGAAAACATACTATCAGTGTTTAAGAACAATTTTCAAATTCCTATTAATAATAAACAAGGAATAGTGTGTTGAAAACCTTCCTCCATTCATGATTTATCGCCGCGTTTTCAAAAAGTAAACAAGAAAAATAAAATCATGTATTTGTCGTTGTACTCATAAATCCAATTACTCCTAGAATAATTTTATTGAAGTGAAACTTTATGGGGCACTATAAAAGTTTTGGGATGAGAGTTAAGTTAACAAAAACTGTTAAGTCAGAGAGATGGAAAAATTATACGAAGATTCACACATAAAGAAGACATCGAGATTAGTCAATGTATCAGTCGTTGCTACTAGTGCCAGTTTTATTAATTAAAGAATTCATTCCTGTAACATAAAATTATTAGATAGCACATAAAGTATGAATGGACAACAAATTTCCGTTCCAGCCATTGAAGATGGAGTTTCTTATTTAGATGTTTGTCTTATTTAATTTTTTTAACCCAAGAATACCATATTATTCGATTAGTAATAGTGAAATACCATTCAAAGTTTCTCTGACGTCGTTAGTTTTGATTGAGGGATAATTCTTGTTTTTAACTTTTACATTTTAAGCGTCTGTGCCACCTTTTGGGCTGTTTTGTTTATAATTTCAAGGCGATGAAATTGCGCCTCGGTTGGTATTTACGTAATTACTGCATAATTCATTAATGTTTATTATTTTTAGTATAAGTAATTAAGTAAACTATATTATATAGTATTTTTAACGAATGAAAGTCTTCTACAGGAATAGCCAAGACTTTCAAGATGATTATTCTGATCAGATGAAAGTAGAAGAAAAAGAAGAAGAATCGCCCACCACTTTGGACATGGATTTAAAGATGATGTTTGAAGAAGATAATGAACAAACTAATACCAGTAGTACAATCAAAACGGAGCATCCAGTCGAAAATATTCAGTTACCTGTCTCTTCCTTACAGACAAAACTGCCCTTACCTTTAAGCAATTGTCAACTACCTGCCAACTCAGCTCTTTTACTAATTCCTGAAACACAAGAGACGTCTAATACACTAACTTTGCTTAATTTGAATAAGATATCACCAGTCAATTTATCAGATACAATATCTAATCCACCTCCACCCTAAAATTTGAATGAAAAACTCTCCAAAGATTTTTTTGCAAAGCAAATCTGACGAGAACATAAGACTATCTGTTATTTTGTTTTGGAATAAGAGAAATAATTTTTATTTGTGCTATTATGATGATAAAAAGGCTATAAACGAATTTACTTATTTCCTTGATTAGTTAAGGTCTTTGTTTCATTGAATGTGCGATACATTCTAAATTCATTGTTAAAGCACGCCCCCTTCTACTTCATTTCTTCGTGTAATTCGCGTAAGCACACCACCCTGAAATAAATCCCGTTCTGGAAGGGCGACTTTTGAATTTTATACACGCAAAACGATTTGTAGACCAAAAAGTTTTAGAAATACTGGCTTACACGCTTCAGTTCATCGTATAAGAATCATGAATGTGCCTCAACTAATATACTGGAGTGCACATAACAAATACCTACCTTACATTTTAAATTAGGGCTACGTAAACTATTATTTAATTATTTGTGGCGAATTACAGATATGAGTGATGTAGTTAGGGGTGTATTCTTGTGGTGTATCTAATATATATTTAGTAAAAACTACCTGAGCGACCTAACTCATTGCTTAAGAGTCGAGACAGATGTAAAAAAAAGCTAGAAAATCTCTGGCGAAATTACGAATCATTGCGAGGACAAGTCAAGTTAGTTGCTTTATGTGTGAAAATATGGAAAAAACGAACCTTCCCGTAATTAACATTATGTAGATCCATATTTTTCGTCCGTGTAAACTCGTATGTTGTAAATTTCATTAATGTCGCTGGAGCCGTTTTCGATGTCTCAGTTACAAATATATATTATAAATATTACACCTATTACTCGTATAATATTGTAGGGTGGGTCATGATGTTTTTTTTACTTTTACAGTAGCGGTAATTATAAGTAACTGAAGTAAGATTTGCAGGATGAGTGTTTACCGTGAATTATCACTTTTTATCGTATAAATCCAAATCTTGAAAGTGTATTTTATTCAGTTTTCGAAATTCAATGAGTTCTCTTTATATTTTTTGCAATATAAGACCTGAGTGAGTTTCTTGGAAATTTATTTTTAATTAAATATAATGTATATTTTAAAAGGAATTTTAGTGAGTTATGAAATCTTAGTAAATTTGATGAATGATATGAAAGTAGAATTTGAAATGAGTAGGTTTATTAACTGCTCATGCGTCTTGAGATTCTCATTGATATGCTGTCAGAGATATATAAAGATTAGTAAAAATTATTAAAAAAAGAACTAATTAAGCGCTATTAGTAACCAACGTAAATTATAATCGAACACACGACAGTAAAAGTCAATTGACTAAAAAGCAAAGAAATTACGAAATGCTCATTTAGGGAAATGGTCATCGACATATACTAATGGACGTGTCTCATCTGTATGTCGTAATAATTTCTTGACTCGAAAAGAGTGAGGAAGATGTGTATGGCTGCGGACTAGTGCTATATTTTTCATTACACGCGATTGGCTTCTCTAAAGTGTGGGCGCAGGGCGTCCTAACAACGACACTATCATGAGAGAGATAGATATTGTCCGAAACTTCATTCCATATCTTTCTTTAGTCGGACATACCACAATTCTGACCGTTAAGACACGTCCATTAGTATATGTCGATGGATGTGGGATATGTCGCGATTCTAAGGTCCAGCGTCTTGCGCTCTTATCTATGAATAGACAAGATCTATGGTCTCTCTTGTCTGTGATCTATGATCTTGCTTCAAAACAATACTTGTTTTTATCCAGTTTTTTCAAGTTTTTTGAAGTACTGGGGCGTTTGAGAAAAGTAGTGCTTATTTCTGTAAAAACGGGAAATACGTGGATAATCCGTGAGTACAACCTACAAAAATGGACATCTTCAATATTCAATTTACACTGCACTACAACACATCAGAAATTCGCTACCGAAATTATTAAATCTGTAATTAAATGTTTCATATACAACCGCATTTAGTCTCCCAATAATGTGACTGTCATATTTTATTACTGATTTGCAGCACAACCAGTTGTTTTTGTATCTGAAGTAAGTAAAAAAAAATCAACTACTGAGACTTAAATGGGTGATGTTGTGGGTATAAATGTATATGTAATCATCTTTTCAAAACTGATTTCANTTTATTTTTTACTTAATTTTATTTGGAAAATGAATTGTTCCTCTAACGATATGGAATTATCAAAATATACTAAAGTTGTTGCAAGGCATCAGTGAAAAGAATTTTTAAGTTTTGGAAATTAGAAGGCGCCCTTTCAGTCCCAGTTAAAAAACATCATATTTATTTATTTGCCGATAAATTAATTTCGTTCTTTTGAACTGAGATTACGTAAAAGTAATTCAAGTTGTTGTGGGGCACCAGTGAAACGAGTTTAATAGTCCCTAATTTAATTTTTTTTTTTAATTCCTTTATGAATTAATTTTGCCCTTATTAAACGAGCGAAAATACCAAAGGGATTAGTGAAAATAACTTTGGAGTCTTCAACCCATAATTTAAAAACGTTTTTATCAATTCATAAATTAATCTTGCCCTTAATAAACGAGCTGAACTTACCAGGAAGTATTAATGTCGTTGTAGGGGATCAGTGAAAAGAATTTTGTAGTTAGGAACCACCGAGGTGCTTTTTCAACTCTTAATTTAAAAACTATTTTATTTCTTGATAAATTCATTTCACCCTTATTTAATAAATGTATGTTCGCCCTTATTAAATGCACTAGAACGTATTGAAGTTTTTGTGAGGTATAAGATGAAAATATTTTTATATTTGGAAGTTGTGGGTGCACATTCAACTCCTAATTTAAAAAGTTTGGTTTTTTACCTTCATAAAAACGAACTGAAATGTAATAAAGTTATTGTGGGTTAATAAAAAATCAAATTAGATGGCAATACATACATATGAATATTTGAAACCCTTGTTGAAAACGAGTCTAATACAGGAATTACATCTGCTGCTTCACTGTTGATGAGAATGCTTTGCAGTAAGGCGGGTTGCCAATACTAAACTGTTTAAAACTACTTATTTTAAATTCAAATTATTTTACTTCAGGCGAAATTAAACGAGTGCGCTGCTGTAGGCTTGAAAAAGATATAGAAATGTTACAGTAGGAGTAGAAATTTTAACCAACTAAGCTTTTTATTTTTTAAAATAATCTACTTAAATGTTTTTGGTTCATACCCAAGCAATCTATGAAAATAATTAAAATTTCTTATATTGTTTATGTAAATGAATGCTTTTTACATTGATATGGATGTTTGTCTAATCTAAGTATTTTTACGTTGTGTATTGTACACTACAATTTTTTTATACTATTTCTGTTAATGGTTTTTATAGCTATAAAAATGCCGACAAAAAACATTGTTGGTTTTATTTATGAAAATTGGCGTTTATTTTCAAATACGTTATTAACGTAGATGACAGGATAGAAATATAAGATTCTTCGTATTCTTCGCTTCTGATTGGCGTTTTNAGGTGAGCATATACAGTACAATTAATATTGTGTATTATTAATTTATTGTCAATTTTCGCAACATAAAATTTCCTGGCACATTATGCATGCGGTGGCGAACATATATTACTTTTTTTGTTAATAGAATGTCGAACCACCCGTTATTTTGTTAGAATTGTATGTATTACAAAATTTCAGTTTATTTAAATTTTTTCCGAAAAAATCAAATTAGCGCTTATAGCGCCACTACATTTGTCGACTCGTATCATGAGAGTTCATAGAGAACAAATATTCAAAGAGAACATCTATTAAAGATTCTAGGGAAGTGAGGAAGAATATAGTAAGAACAGACGTAAAATACATAATGTTGACTTGGTGATTTGCTTTTCCATCTAGGCTCTATAGGTTTTTCCTTCATGGTTATCTATATATCCGCAGCATAAATTGACAATTATTTATGAATCTATGGATTTTATAGATCTTGCTGTGTTACACGGTCTTGTCCATCTTCTTGCCATCTTTTATTAAAAACGACGTTACGTCGCCATTTTTAAAATTTTGAAATTTTATTTGCTTTTCGGTGCGTACTTTCATTGTATTTCGTGTTTTAATTGTTTAATAATGTAGTTTATTCGTTTTTCTTCTCAATTTTTACAGATTGATGATAAATAAGAATGGAAGAGTGTTCATTTTGATGCAACTGAAAAAAAAAGCAAGTTGACCGTCATGGTTTCGTTTCATTTTGGAGAATCTTCTAATTAATTACGGTGAGCATACATGGCATAATTAGTACATTTGTTTGATATTAACTTTAGTATTGTGTCATGCACGTTATTTACCAAGGAGGCTAATTAATTATATCTGAATACTTATAAGATTTCATTTCACAGGAACATTAAAAAAACCCTGGATGGCATTAATTTACAGTGCCTTGGTTGTGTCAGTGTTCATTCGATTCAGAAAGTAGCTATCCTAAAAAGAAGCACAAAAGTGCCTTTTTTTTCCATTGAGAAAGGATACATTGTGGCATTGATAAAGGAAGGATTTATGACGAATGAACTGGTGAGTAAACTATATCAATTAAAAATATTTATCCAGGTCCCAGAAACTTCAATTTCTTAAGCATTTGTAACTTACTTTCATCAGACAACTTTTTAACGTTTTAGAAGCGGCAGAAGCAAAATGTGGAGCTGGCCATTAGAAGTTGTAATTAACAACGTTTTTTTGCCCGTTTCTATAGATTGTCCAAGTGAAAAGGAAGTAATTCTGATGGTACTGAAAGAGCTGATGCTTTTGACGTCTTACCCTTGCAACATAGTTTTGAACCTGTGAGGAGGCATCTGGATATTAATTTGGAAACGACTGAAACAACAAATAGTCTGCAGTGGTATTCCTCTTGGATTTGGCTTGTTCATTCGATCTGTGGACCTTAAAAAGCTACTTTGTGCAGTTAATTAAGGTGAGAATGCATGCTATTTATAATATTAGTTGGTCGGGTTATTCGTCTTACCAATTATCTCTTGTTCACAGTTTCAATTAACCATAACGTGTATCTACAGTATTTCATTTCTTTAAATATCTATAGTCCACATAAATTAACATCGTACATCTCTGATTGCTGGCCTTTATGTCATGCATGATCTGTGGTCATGATGTGAAATGACAGTTGTCCCCATTATAATTCAGCCATTTACTTGCTTTTCGTTGTATATTTTTAGGAGTGTTTGGTTCCTTCCTTATTTGATAGTGTAATTAATATATTTTTCGCCCATTTCTGCAGATTGCCCAACAAATGAGTTCAGTTTGGCCCTACTCGAGCAACCGTCTACACTCTACATGGGTGTGGTCTTTTCTCGACGTTGTTCGTGATTTGATATTTTCATCTTCACTTCGCAACACTACTATGTAGTTGATTTTCGGGCGATTAGTGGGAAAAACTAAAGATTTATTTGATTTCAAGTGGAACAACAAAATTTCTGCTATGGTGCTCCTGCTGGAGTTGGTTTGCTTTCCACGCCTGTAAACTTTGGAACATTACGATCTACAGTTAATTAAGGTGAGAATACATGACTTCATTAATATTAATTGCTCTTTATTAATCTGTTATGAAATTTCTGGTAACAATTATTTATTGTCAACAGTATAAGTTGAGGTTGTGCATTTGTCTCTTTGACAGTTTTTATTTTCCACAGAAGGGATTGACATTTATCATTGATGTATGGAGTTTCGTTTTAACCCTTTTCTATTGTCTGCAACGTAAATTGACGTCGTGATATTTGACATTTATCTATGTCATGATCTATGGTTGTAATGTAAAATGGCGTGAAAGTAACGCTTGTTATTTTATAATTGAGCTATTTTTACTTGCTTTTTATTTATGTTTCTTAATTATACGTGTAATTAATATGTTTTTTATCCATTTCTGCAGGTTATATAATAAATGGGAGAGAATTAAAGTTCAGTTTGGTTATACTGAAAGAGCCAATGTCTACATGGGTGTGGTCATGCATGGATTATATTCTTGATTTGCTGTTTCGTCTTCGCCTTGTAACATCATGCAGTTAATTTTCAACCCAAGATTGAGAGCAACTGGATATTTATTTGAATTCCACTGAAATAGCAAATTCTCTGCTACAGTATTCCTCGTTGGAGTTGGTTTACTTTTCACACCTGTAAACTTTGGAATGTTACGTTCTACAATTAATTAAGGTGAGAATACTTGATATAATTAATTTCAGTTGCTCATTATTAATCTGTTTGCCACCGTATCTGTTTCAGATCGACGTTGGAGAAGACAAAGATGACCCCGTAGTTGAAATAGTTCTTTATCTTGCATGCTCTATCTAGTAGAATTCATTAAGTTCA